TTATTTATTTATTTATTTTTTATTTTTTTTTTTATATGGCTTATGTTTGTCCTGTGAAAGAAAAAATAAATAAAAGAATAAATAAATAAAATAAATTGAACAATTATTTACAAAGGGAGATAATGATGAGCTAAATAATAATTTTTATAATAAATAAATAAATTTAAAAAGAGGTGTATTTGTACTTTATAGTAAATTTTTTTGTTTTCAATAAAAGATATAATTATTAATTTTATATATATGGAGTTATGTTGAATAAATAAATATAAGATATATAAATAATTAAATAAATAATTAAATAAATAAAATAATAAATAAATAAATATATTGTGGCTATTCTATAATAATAATTATGATGGAACAATTTTTTTATTTTTTTCCTTTTAAATGATGAAGTCGGTTGGATTTTTTTTTATTTTTTTTTTTTAATAATACAATAAAAAAGCATTATAATGTCATCATTCACATACTTGAAATAAATATTCAGGGTTATTTATAAATTTATTTATATATACACATACTTTATGAACTGGCCAGAATGTGTGATCTCAATAAAAATACAAAACACGTTAATGTACATGTGAGCATTTTAATATATCTTAAAAAGAATCTTATATAACGTCTAAATCAGGTAAAGACAAACAGATCTCTATTTGCTACGTAGCCACCCTAATTTTAATCAAAGAAAAATCAAAAAATCAAAAAAAAAAAAAAAATAATATTTTTTTAATTTTTATTTTTTTTATACCATGACTGACTTTCAATTCAAGGTGAAGCCAAAATATTTATTTTTATTTTGAATATTTAGTTGTTTATATTAAAATAACCTTCCAGAATACCATATAGAAACAAACGCTATTTCCATAACCCCACCCCAAATTTAATTTTTATTTTTAGAAATTTAAATGAAATTAAATTAAATTTGAAAAAAACACATAAATGTGTGATTATATTTGATAAACATCAAATAAAATAGTAAAAATGATAAGTTCCTATTTTAATTAAATTATTAAAATAAAGATTTGATAAACAACACATTTAATCAAAAGTTTTTAAAACAATGATCACAATTAAAAATTAATTAAACAATTCTTTTAATTTTCTTTTAATAAATTTTTCTTTTTTTTTATAAAAATTTTTTTTAAATTAAAATATTTTAAAATTTTTTTTTAATTTTTTTAATTTATTCAAAAATGAAAAAACAATGTTATAATAGTAGACCAATAGAAATATTATTTTGGGAAGTTATAAGGGGTTGGAATAAATATTTATTTCGTAAAATATTTTCAAATTTCAATTTCTCAAATGCTTTTATATACGAACGTTTGGATAATGCAAAATATATATTAAAGTCATTTAAAAATGGTGAAGAAATAGTTAGAGATAAAGTAAAGTGTGCTGATTATTTAACCCAAGGTGGCCTAAATCAAGTTTACAGTGTCATCAGAAAAAACACATCAGAAAATGTAAAGTTTTATACCCAGCTATTTACAAACTATCAAAGATATTACCAAATACCAGAAGAGTTGTTTTCATTTATAGAAAATTCAAATAAAATGGCACTAAAACTCTATGTAAGGAGATTTAGAAATAGGGATGAAGAAATAACACGAATTATCCAACGTTATCCAAAAGAGAATATTCAAAAACTATCGCAAACTTATAGAGGTATCAAAATGTTAAATTTCTTGAGAAAACACTATAGTGTGGAACTTAGTGGTGATATTGGACATTCATTGTTTGAAAAAATGTTTATCTCTGACCTTTCCACCATCTCACTCAAAAATTTAATAAAGTTAACAAAATGCTTACTAGATATTTATAATAATAAGAACAACAACAACAATAATAATAATATTAATATTAATAATGATAATAAAGATTCAGTTCAAAACTATCTCATTGAAAATAATAATAATATTAGCAATATTGACTACACCAATAGTAATCACTTTAGCTCAATTTTTGAAGAAATTAAATTATATAATTTTACAAAAGAAGAGTTATCAATCGACTTTATGGAAACATTAAGATTAGTAAATTATAATATTGAAAATAAAATAACAATAGAGAATAAAGAATATTTAAATAACTTTTATCATAAAATCAATTCTTTTAAAAATATTTTATATAAAATCTTTTATTTGTTTTATTCAGTAAATAAAAATGATAAAATAACATTAGAACAAAAATCAAAAATAATTGAAAAAGTAAAATCAAAAACAATAGATATATATTATTATTTCTTTTATTACAATAATTTTCTAAATCAAATAAATAAAAATAACAACTACATCATAAATAACATTTATAATAGTAATAAAAATAAAGCATTAGTAAATAATAAAGAAAGAATAGATATTTTAAAGTCATATTTCAGACTTATTTTTCATCAACAAAAATCAATTTACTTATTACCAGGTGTATTACAATTAGATGATTTGGAATTAATAAAAGCAATTCATTTAGGAGATAGAGAAATAGTGGAAGGGATGTTTTCAAATGCAGAGGGTATAAAAGAAATTATTTTTTCAATAATATCACCCAAAATATTGGATTTCTATTATAACGATTGTTATTTTCAAAAGATGCTGTTTGTTGATAATAGTATATATTGGCAGTTTGTTTCTTTTAAAAAACTTTCAGGCCATTATGAAAAGCTAATGAAAAAACTTGGGTATAGTTTTCTTGTCGGTAACAATATGACTCCATATGACTACCAAACTCAGCCATTTGCGAAGGTTCTGGATCTACTTTTAAGAGCACTAGGTGACACCAAGGGAACTGTATATAAACTGGATCAAAAGTTTGATATTCAAACTTATGCACAGGTTATGGTTACTTATGTTGAAAATAGAAAACCCAGTCGTGTACTTTCAATATTAAATCTATTCAAGTCCAAAAGTATAGATTTTTCAAAGTATTATTTTTCAAAAATATCCTTTAAATTCCTTCATTGGTTTGTCGCACAGGCAGAGAACATTAAATTAGAAATCCCACCAAAAATTAGAGTCACATCACAAATTGATAAAGGCAAATCAACAGAATTTACAATCTATTCAGATCAATTGCTATACTCATATATATTCAATGAGCGATATGAAGATGCCATCAAATACCTCTGCAAAAACTCAAATTATTTTTCAGACTATTCAAGAGAAACCCCATTTATACATTGTTTTTTTAAAAAAGTTTTGGAATACTATTTAAAGATAAAAAAAGAAAGTCCAGATTCAATTTTAGAGCACCACAGCCAAGCCCAAATCCTAAAAAGTTATATTACAGGGTTTTTAATACGTTCATCAATAATCGGGGATTTTAAAATATTTAAAGAATTAAATTTTGATGACCTAATCTACGGTGTCAACCCAGTTTTATCATCATCAACCCTAACCACCATTTTATTTAATGCTTTAAACTCCAATATGGATATAATGGGGCATATCTTAAAATATACTTCATACCCGCTCAAAAAAGACGATTTTAAAATAATGTTAAAGGAAGACTCATTAGCTTTTAAAAAACTTCAACGATTATTTAAATAAAATGTAAACAAGACACTATAATAATTTTATAAACTTTTTTTAAATAAATAAATAAACTACAATTATTTTATTTTTTTTATTTTAAAACTTTTTTTTTCTGATTAAAAAAGTGTGATGTTTTTTTTAAATGTTTAGTTTAAAAAAAAATAGAAGCCACAATGGCTGGCTATATTTTTTGATTAAAAAAAATTACTGTATTACAAATAACAGTAAAAAAAAATTTATAAATATATATGTTATTATTTTGTTGCTATTGTTATTGTTATTTTTATTATTGTATATGTTACTAATAGTAATAAGCTGGCCCACCAATATGGTCAATATCAATACCAACCAATTCTTTTGTTGGCTCTATTCTTAATAAATGGAATTTCTTCATGATTAAAAATAAAATTGATGAAGTAAATAAACACCAGACTATAACTATGATGATACCTAATAGTTGAATACCAAGTTGTTGAAAACCACCACCAAAGAATAAGCCATAAACATTTGTTTCTCTTTTGAGGATGAGCGAAAGATTTTCTTGGGTACTGAATAGACCAACAGACAAAGCACCCCAGACACCACAAGCAAAATGAATAGCAGAGGAATCTAAAGGATCATCTATTCTAAGTTTTAATAAAAGTGTTGAAGCACCCAAGTAAACAAAAGCAGCGACACAACCAATGATAAAAGCAGCCCAGGGTTCAACTATAGAGCAAACTGCTGCGGACGATACTAACCCACCTAATAAACTATTTACAGATTTTACCACATCATATTTTCCACTTTTGATTTTAATGGCCAGTAGAGTAGTCGCACAAGAGGCACAGGCGGAAATAGTCATTGTTACAGCTGATCTAGACGCAATATTAATACGACCACCACTTACACCCAATGTAGAACCAGTATTAAATCCATAAAAACCGTACCAAATGATGAAAGCACCCAAAGTATATAATGTGATGGAATGGCCAGGTAATGGTTTGGGTTTACCAGAGTCACTGTCAAATCTTCCTATACGAGGCCCCACAAGATAAGTGCCAACCAAACCTATACAACCACCCACTATATGTACAACTATACCTCCAGAGAAATCTATAATACCATTCGTTCCAATTTGTCTAAGCCAACCATTATACGACCAAACCCAATGTGCTGATAGCGGGTATATAAATGCTGACATCGCTATTGTGTATACCAGACATGATGTTACATGAATACGTTCCGCCAATGATCCACTAACTATCGTTATAGATGTCGCACAAAATGCCCATTGAAAGGCAAAAAATGATAAATTATCATAATTTATTAAAAAAAAATGTGATGTTCCAATAATTGGATTCGAGGCTTTATCAGCATTACCAAATGCTAAACCAAACCCTAACGCCCAAAACAGTAACGAACCTATAGCTGTATCAATAATCGATTTTATAATTATACTTTTTGCATTCTTCGCCCTTACAACACCTGCTTCTAACATACAAAATCCTGCTTGCATATCTATGATTAATTGAAAATTTTTATAATTAGCAAATTATTATAAAAAACATTATTATTAAAAGAATCTTACAAAAAACCAAATATGTTGCATTTAAAACCCACATATCATCAACAGCTGCTGATAATCCCTCTTTGGTTCCATTAAGTTCTAAATATTCCATTTTATTTTATTATTTATTTATTTATTTATTTATTTTAATATTATTTTATTTTTTTTTATTTTTTGAAAAAAATAATTGCTTTAAATTATAATTGATTTACTGATTTTATTAATGGTACATATATTTTTACAATAGTTTGATTGTTGAGTTTTTTTTTGTTATTAAAAAAAGAATATACAAAATTATTTTATAGATTTACAATATAAAAGGTTGCTTAATTATATTATTATTATTTTTTTTTTTTTTTGAAAAATTATAATTAAATTTTGATTTAAAACAAGATAGTTTTTATTTTTGTTTAATTTTTTATTTATGTTTTATTTATTTTAAAAAATTAATTTATAATTATATATTTATAAATATTGTGTTGGGCAGTGTGGTGAAGAAGTTGTGTTGGTTAAGTGTGAGTGTGGTGTAAAACAAAAAAAAAATTTAAAAAATCAATAAAAAAAATTTTTGGTGTATATTTGTTATGTGTATTTATATAAATGTCTGAAAAATAGAAATAAACTGACAAATAAAATTTGTGAAAGTAAATTTGTTATTTAATTATTTACTACTATTATTTTATTATTATTTTCTTGTTTTATATATATGGAAATAAAATAATTATTATATCACTGTTATATTATTTTATTTATTTAATATTTTTTTGTTTTATTTTATAATTATTTTATATTATTTATTATTATTATTATTAATATTATTATTATTATTATTATTATTATTATTATTATTATTATTAATATATTATTGTGTATTATATTATTATAGTTAAATTTTTAATTGAGTCATAGATATATAACATGTATTTAAAACACTGTTTATATTTTTTTCGTTTTTGTTTGTCTGTGTTTTCTATTTTGTTGCTATTCTATTTAAATAGTAATATTTATATATATTAAATATAAATATTTTATTATTATTGAATTATCACATAAAAAAAAGAAATGATAATTTAAAAAAAATTAAAAAAATTTTAAAAAAAAAAAAAAAATTTTAAATAAAGAAAATAATTAAAAAAAAAAATAAAATAAAATAATATTTTTTTTTTAAAAGATAAATTTATTTTTTTGAAATAAATTAAATTTAAACTCTTATACTGTGATTTTTTGGTTTTGATAATTGGTTTTTATTTATTTATTTGTTTATTTATTTATTTAATTTATTTATTGCAATGTAATTAAAAATGGAAAATAAAAAAAACCCAAGTTCATCTATTTTTTTGTAAATTTAAAAAAAAGGTGTGTTGGTTATATCTTTGGAAATTTTCCAAAAAAAAAAAAAAAATATGCTCCGTTTAGAAAGAGAACATGATTTTGTATCCTCAAAAATGATTTGTTTCTTTTGTTAAAATAAAATATTAATTTGATTATTCAATTGTTAAAACCAATATATTAAAAAAAAAAAAAAAGAATTAGAAAAAGAAACTGGAGTAATAATAAACAGAAAGAAAGCTATTGCCAAAAATAATTTGAAAAAAAAAAAAAAAAAAAAAAAAAAAATTTAAGGTGTTCTTCGGGATCCCTATAATCAAATAAAAAAATTCGGTGAACGATCAAAATTTTTTTTTTTTTTTTTTTTTTTTTTTTTTTTTTTAACAAAACCTTTTCTTCTATTTGAATTAAGGGGGAATTTAATTAAAAAAACCCAAAAAAAAAATTTTTTATTTAAAAAAAGGGTATTTTTTAAAAAAAAAAAAAATTTTTTTTTAAAAAAATTTTAGTTAAAGGGTTTTTTTTTTAAATTTTTTAACCCAAGGAAACTATTTTTTAAAAATTAACCCCCCTTTAAGGGAAACCCAATTTTATTTTAAAAAAAAAAAAAAAATCCCTGGTTTTAGGTAATTGGAATTATTTTTAAAAAAAAAAAGGGAAATTTTAATTGGGGGGGAGGGACAAAAAAAAAATTAATTCGGGGGGGTTTTTTGGGATTTTTTTAAAAAAAAAATTTAAAAAAAAAAAATTTAAAAAATTTTTTTTTTTTTTTTTTTGAAGAAAAAAAATATTTTAAAAAAAAAAAATTTTTTTTTTTTTTTCAAAATCCCTTCTTTAAAAAATTAACCCCCTTTTAAAAATTAAACCCTAAAAAAAAAAAAAA